CCCCCTTTAGGTTCCTTCGTGACAGTGGCGAGGGGCCCAGTGAACTACAAGGCCCTGCTGAGGCCTTCTGGAGCATCCTTGAGCAAAGGGGTTCCCCAAGCTCTTGGCCTGGAGTGACCCAGATGCTCCAGGGACAGGGATACCTCTTTCCTCTCTCGGACCTACCGTCTTCCCTTTTTCCTGGTCTATCCATCCAACTGTCAGCCATCCCACAGGTGCCTCTGAGCAGCCCCGTGCCAGGCTTGGCCCTGCGGTCAGCTCACAGGCTGGCATGGAACCTACGAGCCGGGAGCTCAGCATGTCAGGGCAGAGCGATGGGAGGGAGGTGGGGCTGAGGTGCCACAGGAGCCCCGCATCTGTCTAAAGGGCTGGGGGTGGGGTCTAATCATGGGAGGCGGCCCTCAGCCTCCAGTCCCTGGAGGAGTCATCCCCCAGCTTGGGAGTCATCCCCCAGCTTGTGTGTGGATCCCACCAGAGGTCCGGAGCACTGCCCAGGAGACCCAGAGCCTCTGGGGTGCTTGGGCTGGACGGGGGTGAACAGGGAAGAAGTGTTCTGTCTCTCGAAGGGCCACCCCCACCCCCATCTCGGGAGCAGTGGGACTTCCCAGACCTCGAAGCCACACTTCCACTTCTATTCATGCGGCTGGACACAGCAACTCGTTTGGGTTTCTTTTTTGGCAACCGCAGCGCACTGCTTAAGTTTGTGGCAGCCACAAGAAGCCCGTCTCTGCTGCCATCCGGCGCTCCCTGCCCCCAGTGTCCGCGCAGGCGGAGAGCACGGGGGCCAGCCCGGGGCCCGGCCTGGCACAGACCTGCCGCAGGCACCCTCTCCCGCCGTCCTCAGAACGGCCTGTAGTGATGGGAAACTGAGACCCGAAGGCACACATTAGGGCCCGAGTCCAACCAGCAGTCCTGGGAGGGGCCGCTCTGTCTCCCAAGCCCTCCCCAGCCCTCCGTTGGACCGCTGTTCCCTGCAGTCAGGGTTAAGGGCACAGGCTCTCCGGGGCTGTCAGGATCGTGAAGTCCCCCTGCCCTGGCCCCACCCCCAGGTTTCCTTCTGGCAAAGTCGTTCCGGCTCGAGAAGGCAGGGGGGTTTTCAGAGCCCCCGAGATCATACCACACGCCTAGCTGCTCTGGGCAGAAGCCTCCACTCGGAGCCCAGCACGGATATGACCACGGACGAGCAACCTGTCAAAGTGTCTGAAATGCAGCCCGGCCTCGGCGCCCAGCCACCGGCCTCCCTGCGCAGCCGACACTAGACCGTCCCAGGCTTGTGCAGTCTGTACAGAGGCCCCTGGGCCCCCGGAGCAGCCCCAGGGACGAAGGAGGGGGCAGGGGCCAGCCCCTGGAGTCTCCAAGCAGTGCCATCTGGCACGGCAGGAGAGCACAGGGGGGCTTTGGAGCCTGTCAGATCTGCTTTCCAACTTGGCCTCTACCGCTTAACCAGCTTGGGACCCGGGGCCAGGGGCTCTGGTCTCCTCACCTGTGAAATGGGGACGAGGATACCAACCCCACCGGAGGATGTGCTGGACCACACGACAATAGGAGCTACTGTCCCCAAGAAGGCAGGACACACGGCGGGGGGGGGGGGCACGTAGGCGGAAATGGGGGCAAGGGTCTTTTTATTCCAGACTTCACAGGCTGAACCCGCTCTCGCTCTCACTTCACCAAGGACACGGAGGCTCAGGTCAACCACCTCGTCCACGGTCATCCAGCTAGCAAGAGGCTGAGCCCAGCTGGCCGGCTTCGTCCACACACATTCAAGCTCTGTTCTAGCTGTCTCTGGGGAGGAAATAAGTGTCCATTGATGCAATGCCTCCACTTGCCATTCAAGTCAGCCCTGTCTCTTGAGCTCCTGTGACCATGGCACATTGCCAGGCCATACAGGATTCGGCACGAGCGGAGGAGACCCAGCCAAGTCAACAAGCCCTCGGCGATGCAGCGGGAAAAGGTCTCGTGACCGGAGAAGGGGCTGGCCGGTGACCTCCGAAGCCCCCACTTGTGCATTTGCAGTTCTAAAAGTACAATCTCGACCTTCACTGATGACACTGCGGGGTCCAAAAGTCTCTGATGACAACATCCTTCGGAGGGGCGGCCTACAATCCAACCTTTGGGGCGTCCAACCCTTTATGATTTGGCATCCAAGTGTGCTCGAGCTTAAGTATACCCTAAATATACCCCTCACCTGGCCAGCAGCCCCACCCAGATGAGACAGAGAAAAGTGTCAGACTGGAGGGGAGCCTGGCGCCCGGTGGGGAGGCCCCAGGCCTCCACTGGGCTGGTTATATGGCCCCGGTTGTTTCCAGCCGCTGCTGCTATAGCCCCACATGTCCTGACCCCTCTGCAGGCCTGAGCTGGGGCTCAGGCCTGGGCAAGCCTAGGGGGGGGAAAGGGAGAAGCCAGACCTTGCCCTCAGGGACCTTCAGAACAGCTGGGGAAGTGGACAAGCCCAGACCCAGTGTGCCAGGCTGGAGGCAGGGCTGAAACAGGGCGGGGACACCATATAGCCCAGAGGTTTCCCAGACGGTAAAATTGTGGTACCTGGTGGCAAGCTGCTGGTTCAGGAGGTTTCAGTTTCCTATTTGTGCACCCATTAGGTTGTGCCCACTGCACAGATGGGGGAAACGGAGCCACCACGGTGTTCCGGGATCCGGCCGGTGAGGAAGGGGGACGGACAGGCCAGGACTAGAAGCCAGGCATTGATTGCAAACCCGAGCCCTACATTTTAAGCAGCCACGTCTACACTGGACTCTGATTTCTCCCTCCGTCGAGGCATTCCTCAAGCCTGCCCTTTCGCTAGAATCCCCACCAGCGGTCTTCCAGTGGAGAACGGGGAGGTGGGCTAGGGAACCTTGTCTGGGATCTCCTCGGGCCAGCTTGAGCCGTGGGCCCGCAGTTGGGAGGCTCTGACTCCAGCAGCAGCAGCTGGAGGGTCGTCGTTCCCTTCTCGGCCCCTCCCCCACCCACAGCGGGCCTGTCTGGCTCTCCCTTTAGGGACTGGAGGAGCAGCAGCCAGCGTCCAGTGAGTCCTCCCTGTGTGCCAGGCCTCCTCCTCGTCCTCCTCCTCCGTGAAGTACCCAGTCTGCCCACGCACACACGGTAGGGGCTCAAGTAATCCTCAAACTAAGTTAAAACTCGCAACAAAGCAAAGTGCAATGGGCGGGGCCGGACGCTACCTGATGCCCCTCCCTCTGCCCCCAGCCCTGGGGCCCCTGATGCCGGAGAGGGTGGGGGTTCAGAGTAAGGAGAACCTACTGTTGCCCAAAGTCTCTCATGTTGTATTCACTAACAGTTATGGAGCACTTTAAAAAAAAAAAAAATTTTAACGTTTATTTATTTTGGAGACAGAGAGAGACAGAGCATGAACGGGGGAGGGTCAGAGAGAGAGGGAGACACAGAATCTGAAACAGGCTCCAGGCTCCAAGCTGTCAGCACAGAGCCTGACGCGGGGCTCGAACTCACGGACCGCGAGATCGTGACCTGAGCCGAAGTCGGCCGCTTAACCGACTGAGCCACCCAGGCGCCCCTGGAGCACTTTGTTATGGAGCAACTTTGTTTTGGGTGGAGGGCCAAAGAAATCACTCCTACTGAGTCTGGGGGATCACAGCAGCACCCACATCACTGCCTTCGGAGAGGAAGGGCAAGGAGTGAAGAAGTTTGCTGGAAGAAGGGACTTTACGGATGGAGGGAGCAGGGTGTCAGGGAGCTCCTCTGGAGGGTGGGGCACCCCCCTTAAAGGGGCAGCGGGAGTAGGCAGGGTTATCTTGTCCACTCCTCGGGATGGGCAGGGCCAGGACAGCTGGCCCATCAGGCCAATAAAGACGGCAAGTCCAGAGTTCCCGGGACTTGTCCAAGGGCACAAAGCAGCAAGGTGGCCCCAGGAAGCCAAAGTCCCCAGCCGGTCTCCAGTCGGGAAGCAGGCAGGGGTAACCTTTAGCTCAAGGTAGCCAGGGAATCCTTGGGAGAGGGAACCCGGGGGCAGCATCCTTGGGCCGGCCCAGATGGGCCAGTACAGGTTGGAGAGGCCTGTCCTTGGCCTCTGCCTCCTAAGCGTGGAACTCTCTTTCTCCTTTAAAAGGGGTGCGAAAGTGGGCGCCTGGGTGGCTCAGTTGGCGGGGCGCTGGACTCTTGATTTCGGCTCAGGTCGTGATCTCAGGGTTTGTGGCATCGAGCCCCTGCTTCAGGCTCTGCGCCATCAGCCAACTCTCTCTCCCTCTCTCTCTCTCT